AATTAAATTGATGCATGCTGTTTGCATTTTGCTCATTCCTGACCTGTGAGTCTGCACAACAGCCAAAATACTGTCTTTAGTTATTAACGTCTGAAATGATGAACGCACTTGAAAACTAACACAAAATTAGCTGCCTGACCAGAAAAACAAAAACCTTCCAGCAGTACTTAAGGTTTTGTGGTGGCACAAACCCTCTTTACCCTTTTCCTCCCAGGCTTCTAGACTTCTGATTGGCCAACATTTAGTTTTTAGTGTTTACATGCGGACAGAGATATTTTTTCAAAACTGCACGAGTGGACGGGATTTAAAAAAAACAAAAACAAAAACACCCGTTCAAGTGTGGACGTAGCGTGACTGCACTCAGAGTCCAGCCTCGCAGAGTCGCTGTAGTACGGTGGTCACGCTGAAAAATGGCACAAACGCCAACCTTGCAATTATATAAGAACAACTAGAATAAAAACAGCTGGTAGCCAGCTGAGTCCACTGAAATTAAAAGCGGTCGCTGAAGGTTGAAGGTATTTCTCAACTCAAACTCAGGCGGACAAACTGCAAAAAAAATTCAACGTAATCACTGAGCAACCACCAATTTTTCCTAGTCGCTAAGCAGTTCCCTCCTGATTTTACTCCATATGACTGAGACATTACTGGCTTTACATTATGCAGACCAAATGTGCAAGGAAGCGAATGCCTCCTCTGACTGCTGTTTTGTCTCTGGTGTCTTTTACTCTCAGTGTTTACTGTAAACATTTTACAACTTTATCGCTGCTTCAACACATCAGAATGAGACCTTAAGCAGACCTAAGAGCTCGAAACATCCCTGCACTGCTTTTAAACACTAAACATTACTTTCACCTTGCTGCAGGGTCGCAGCTCTGTTTGGCTAAGTGTCTTATTAAACTCCCCCTGACAGGGAGGAACATTTACTTCTTTAATATTTGGTTTGTCTGACACACATCCTCACAGCAAAGGGAGAGCGATCTGTCCAGCCCACATCTTATTAAAAAGGATATTTACATATAGAGTAAGAGCCTGCTCCTTCCGACACTTTATCATCTCACCTCTTCCTGCTCTCTCCTCTTCCAGCGCAGCTGAGCGTTGGCCGCTGCCATCGCCTCGATCACGAAAGTGGTGGTCATGTAGCTGTAGAGGAGATGATAATTGAGTTAACAGGTCATATTTTTAATGACAGGGGAAAAAATTAAAAGGTGCTTTCACCAGCAGAAACCTTCATTTATTACGCCTCCGCAGGCTGGCGAAGAAAGGAAAGCACCAAGTTTCTGTGTATAACAAATGAGGGATTTGTGAAAGCTTCAGATTAGAATAAGTTTAATGAAAAATGGGTTTATAAAAAGGTTCATATTGTTAGGAAAAGCCTACACTGGGCCTTCCCTAAAAACTTTCTCATGTTCATGCTGGTTTGAGTGTAATCCCAACTCTGAAAAACTGATCCAGTATCAGTAACATTTCTTTGCCTGCAGGTATACACCAGCTACTAACATGAAGTGGAAGAAGCAAAGTTTCATACACATTTATTTATTTGATCCTTATTTGCCCGGTGCGCTCCCTATAATTAAAATCTCTTTTTCAAAGCACACTGCCAAGAAAGCAAAAGGTTGCAAAAGCTATAAAATGAAGAAAATCAAAGCAAACAATTACAAAAAAAAAAACCCAAAACAAAGTCCAGCTCAGGAATAACGCGCTTGGAAACGGAGCTCTTCCAGGAAGATGAATGAACAGCTTTAGTGTTCTGCAGATTGCTCCATGACCAGGGTGCTGAGTGAGTTTGTTCTACCAAATAGTCACCACAGAAATATATTAAAATATATACACAACATGTACAACATGAAATATTCTATACTGGGAGTAAAAAATGTTGACAACAAAACAAACCAAGACAAAAATAAAGCGATTCCCTCTAAAACATACTTCGGTGTTCTCATGTGTGAGTAGGAGCACTCAGCAAAGACTTCCTGTCACTCATTTATTAATAAATCCCAATTCAGTTAAGTTATCCTGAATTATTGCATTTCTGTTATTTATTATTATTAGTTGGGTAACCAAACCCTGATCCGACCTTGCATTATAAAGAATTACTTCCAGTGTATTCCTCACTTCCTAACTCCAGCTAACTGCAGGCTAGTTGGCACCAGAAGCTACACATCCAGGTCCAGTGTGCTGAACTATCAAAGCTCCCTCCTATTTTAAATAAACTTCAGATCCCTGAGTTACTACCAACAACCACTGAAGCAATCTGTGCTCCGCGCCACGACACTTTTGTTAATTAAATAGTCTTTATATATTTCTTAAATCTGATATTTTTCTACATAATAATCTGATTTTAGGAGCAGAGTTGGCAAGAAACACTCAGAACTACAAAAGAAATGTTCATCTGAAAACCCGACATGACCCTGCACAGTGTGCCAATAAAGCCTGAATAATTTCAGTGCCTGAGCATCTCTTTAATAAACATTGCTGCAATCATTCATCGAGCTACTTCTCACTGTGGGTTCACTGATAGAGACCAAAGGAAGTCCAGTGTCATGAAGTCATTTGAATGAGCACTTCTCATATTTCAGCTACAAGCTGCTCTCTCTTAAACTTAAATACTAGCATGCATCTGAGATGTTTAGGCTACATCTGTAAACGGAAAATAAAAAACAAAAACAGGGCTGCACAATTTCACTTGATTACAATTTTGTCTTGTCTCAGTTAAATCAAGATAACTGACCTATACTGAAGCTGAGTGCTATCAATCTGTCCCTAAATCTCCACCTGGTGATGTGCCTGCATGTGCCAATCACAGCTCCTCCCTGCACCGTGCAGTTTTATGTTTCCAGTAAACAGTCTGAACCTGTAACGCTACATTAAAAGACGATACAAACACCAGACAAGAAACAAATCGAGAGCTCGTTCCTGGAAGCAGCTCAATCCTTCAGATTCAGGGCCAGCGATGTTAACCGCGAACAAATCACAACCGGCATAATCACGCAGTCCTAATAGAAAGCAACCTGGACACAATAGAGTTTTTAAAATGTGCCGTGTTATTAGTGAAAGAGGAAGTAAAAGAAGGCCTCTGGGTGGCAAATATCAACCAAAGAAAGAAACCCACGTTTA